AGTAGTTATAGATCAGATATTGATTTTCTTTTCACTTTTAATCAGTGACACTCAGCCAGAATTGTTTGATGCACATATCAATATATCCTGGGCATAAGATACATTGTAGTTTGACAATTAAGTATACAGTATCTATTATTTCATTTTCTGATTGTCTCATATATTATATTTGAAGTTTTTGAAATTTCAAATTTAATGGGGTCATACAATGGCTAGGTTATTAAAAAGAGCCTAGTATTAAAATGATTATAAGCAAGACTGATGATTCATTTTCAGATGTCATAATGGCCAATTCCAGTTTAATGACATTGGGCCACAATCTGCAATTAAGAAGTCACATAGATCTTCTCTATTGCCTAAAATTCAAAACCTTTGCAACTCTTGAGCAAATATTATCCCTCATTCACGTCTAAGAAGATTGTTTTCAACAGGACCATTTTGTGTTCTAGATTTTAGTAAAGCCAAAGAAAGTAATGCAGATGCTGGAAGGTGGTAAGATTTTTGCAACCACAACTTCTGCAGCATCTTGAATTCAGTCAACACACAGTACTCTAATGTATGGGGGCGCCCAATACTCAAAATATTTACTGGGTCACCCAGAAAAGCAACACTTCTATCTTCAAGGGAAGCCATAATTTTCTTATACATATGATGTCACATTTACAAGAACATATTCAAAGATTTTATGATATGGATATTCCAGCTAAGGATTTTCAGAGAGTTTTGACTAGTTGTGATGATTCCTGTTTGTTTTTTAAACCTTGAATAGACTTCCACTTCACTTAAAACAATTCTAGTTTCCAGTGTAACAAAATTGTAGGAAGACTATTTTAGTGGCCATCAAATTACTTTTCTCCTTTCAAAACATAAACATATATTTTAAAATAAAGTTAACAATGATTGTCAGGGTTCCCAATGGGGTATCTATGACATGATTGTTTTATGCTCAATTACATGTAAGTGCATTCTACAATGTAATCACAATTATGCTAAATGCAGGAAAACACTTTCCCCAGGTGTTTTTCTGCAGTACATTATATGCTTACATTATTTTCCTTTCTATTAGACTTGCAACCACAACTAGCACTCAATAACTACAGGCTGCCTTTTAAGGAAATTGGGAGCTCAATTATTTTTACATCTTAAAAGCCAGAAATTGCCTCTTCTCTTTCTTAGCAGCAAATTTTATTTTGCAGTGTATAAACTATGTCGAAGCTATTTTTACTTTCAGCTTTAGATTTGATGAACAGCTGTCATTTTCTCCAATTATTTTGAACTTACAGTCACAAAACTACCTGATTAGCAACCTGCCTAAACAGAGTACATGATAGGGCAGAAAAAGCCACAGTATCTAGATGAGAAATTTGTTCTGGTTTGCTGCTTGTTGCTCAGCTGATTGAAACTTCAGGATGGAAAAAGCTGCTTCACTCATGACAATAATTTTGGATGATGACCTTGGAAATCAGTGAAATTTGCCCTTTATCTGCAAGGATTTTAGATTCCACATGGATTCCTTCCTAGTCCCTCCTCATCCTGCATTAGACTCATGGAAAAAGTTACCTTCAGCTTTTAATTTTAGTGATGAAAGTATCAAAAATCATAGTAACTGACTTTGAGACTCCTGGCTGAGTTGAGGCATAGGTATTTTCAATCTTGCAAATCTCAATCATATCTTTTAACAGGGGCAGCATGTATTTCCTACCTCTGCTACCTCTTATAATTCAGGTCATGACCAGGGAGATTTCTGTTTGATTCACAAACATATACACAAATAAAGAAGAAAACCCTCTTAAATTAGACAGTACCAGAAAATATACCCCAGGGCAAAATATATGAGAGGACATGTGTAGAATTTACAGACAAAGTATAGAATATAGGTAAATGGCAACTATACAGGGAAAGTGTTTAATATTTGTGGCTTGTACATGCATATGTATTTCCAGATATTTAGTTAGTGTAGAAATAATTAATGACTCCAGTTAATTATAAAAGGAAATTATAAATTTATCTTTAACTAATTTTTAAATATTTAGAAAATTTCTCTTGAATAAGAATAAAAAACATCAGTCAGGGATGTTTTAGTCACATTGCCTAAATGCAAAACACATTAAAATATGTCAGGTACCCTAAATATACTACAATACACAAAATGAGAAGGAAAAACTAATTCAAAATGTAGATACAGAAAGGGCAAGCAGTTAGTCTTAGGTAGGAAAGATGGTTTGAATATGAAGATCCAGAAATTTTCATTATCTCCCCATCCCCACCATGTCTTCCTTTCTCTCCCTCTCAAATCACAAACTCAAAGACTTCCTTTCTTTTTTTTTTAACTGAAAAAAGGCAATAAACTAACATATATCATATACCTACTGTGTAATGGATGGGCACTTGGCACTTTATTGCATTCTCAAATGAATTTATAATGCATTACTTATAGCAAGTAATGTAAATATTACTATAGTAAGCATTTTACAAGCATTATCTAATAGAGTCTTCAAAAAGATACCATGAGATAAATATTAGCATCTTCATTTTGAATTTTTTAAAAATATTGATTATAAGTTAATTATATATCCCAAAGATATTCAACTAAAACCATGTGTTACAAAACCCACTGATCATTCTGCAATTTGCATATTGATTCTATAAAGGTTTCTGTATTTTTAAAAGTAACTGTTTTTCACTTCAATTTGTCTTCACTTCAGGTTTCAGAGAACTAACCAGAATACAAGCATATCTCAAGAGATATCGTGGGTTCCATTCCAGACCATTGCAATAAGGTAAATAATACAATAAAGTGAGTCAAATGAATTTTTTGGTTTCCTAGAGCATGTAACAGTTTTGCTTACACTATATTGTAGTCCTTTAGTATGCAATAGCATTATGTCTCAAAAAATGTACATACCTTAATACCAGGGAGATTTCTGTTTGATTCACAAACATATACACAAATAAAGAAGAAAACCCTCTTAAATTAGACAGTACCAGAAAATATACCCCAGGGCAAAATATATGAGAGGACATGTGTAGAATTTACAGACAAAGTATAGAATATAGGTAAATGGCAACTATACAGGGAAAGTGTTTAATATTTGTGGCTTGTACATGCATATGTATTTCCAGATATTTAGTTAGTGTAGAAATAATTAATGACTCCAGTTAATTATAAAAGGAAATTATAAATTTATCTTTAACTAATTTTTAAATATTTAGAAAATTTCTCTTGAATAAGAATAAAAAACATCAGTCAGGGATGTTTTAGTCACATTGCCTAAATGCAAAACACATTAAAATATGTCAGGTACCCTAAATATACTACAATACACAAAATGAGAAGGAAAAACTAATTCAAAATGTAGATACAGAAAGGGCAAGCAGTTAGTCTTAGGTAGGAAAGATGGTTTGAATATGAAGATCCAGAAATTTTCATTATCTCCCCATCCCCACCATGTCTTCCTTTCTCTCCCTCTCAAATCACAAACTCAAAGACTTCCTTTCTTTTTTTTTTAACTGAAAAAAGGCAATAAACTAACATATATCATATACCTACTGTGTAATGGATGGGCACTTGGCACTTTATTGCATTCTCAAATGAATTTATAATGCATTACTTATAGCAAGTAATGTAAATATTACTATAGTAAGCATTTTACAAGCATTATCTAATAGAGTCTTCAAAAAGATACCATGAGATAAATATTAGCATCTTCATTTTGAATTTTTTAAAAATATTGATTATAAGTTAATTATATATCCCAAAGATATTCAACTAAAACCATGTGTTACAAAACCCACTGATCATTCTGCAATTTGCATATTGATTCTATAAAGGTTTCTGTATTTTTAAAAGTAACTGTTTTTCACTTCAATTTGTCTTCACTTCAGGTTTCAGAGAACTAACCAGAATACAAGCATATCTCAAGAGATATCGTGGGTTCCATTCCAGACCATTGCAATAAGGTAAATAATACAATAAAGTGAGTCAAATGAATTTTTTGGTTTCCTAGAGCATGTAACAGTTTTGCTTACACTATATTGTAGTCCTTTAGTATGCAATAGCATTATGTCTCAAAAAATGTACATACCTTAATTAAAAAATGCTTCATGCTAAAAATGCTAACCAATCATCTGAGTTTTCAGAGTCATAATTGCTGTTCACAGATCACAATATAAATATAATAATAATGAAAAGTTCAAAGTATTGTTAAGAATTTCTTAAATATGACACAAACACATGGAGTGAACAGATACGTTGGAGTAATGGTGGCAATAGGCTTGCTTGACACAGGGTGGCTACAAATGTTCAAATTGTGAAAAATGCAAGGTCTGCAAAGTGAAATAAGGTGAAGCACAATAAAATAAGTTATGCCTATATAAACAAGATTGATGATACATGCCGAAAATGTTGCCAATTTGAGGTCAATAGTTACCAATTCATCATAGTTTGACAGAAATCAATGTTACAAAATCAAGGAAAATTTAGGAGGCTTCTTAGAGGGAAGAAAATCATGTCCATAACAAGTGGGAGACAATCACTTTCACATGAGTGATTTGGAAAGTATATTCCATTAAGTTTCAATCAAAGGAAAAGCTCTAATTTGACTCAAGTTCTGTTCTAACCCTATAATTACACAAATAAGCTTTATTTATCCAAGAAGTCCTGTATTTTGTTGTGTATACTTCATAAGTAATTCAACAAAATTAGTGCTCTCAGAAGTTAGTACTCTGGAAATCTCTGTGGACATAAAAATTTAGACACATAAAGAAATTCACATCAAATGCATAGCCTCTAAATTAAATTCATCACCAATTTCCTGTACATTAATTCATGTGATTACAAACATAAACCCAGTTATTGACCAGTGTCCTTTGCATTATTTTATGGTTTCTTTCTTTTTAGTAACTCATACTCATGTTTTCTTTAATGCCTGGTGCACTAATCTGCTGTGACTGCCATAACGAAGTGCCACAAAGTGGGGAGCTTAAGCAACAAAACTTACTTGCTCACTATCCTGAAGGCTAGAAGGCCAACATCAAGGTGTCATCATGGTTGAGTTTCTCTGTGGGTCTCTCTCATTGTTTTGTAGGTAGCTCACTTCTCTCAGAGGCTTCATATGGTCTTCCTCTGTTTTGTGTCCTAATTGCCTCTTCTTATAAAGACATCAGTCATATTGGATTGGGCCCCACCCATATCACCTCTTTTTATCGTAATTGCCTCTCTAAAAACCCTATTTCCAAATACGGTCACATTCTGAGGTACTGGGGATTTGGACTTCAACCCTGGAATTTGGAAATACCTACCATATTTTTTGGAATAGGGTTGTATAAAAGAAAATTATTCAAATAAGTCCTTAAAATTTTAAGTATTAAGAGGGAAGTCATCATAAATCAGAGTTTACACAAGCAGGAATGTTTTAAATGCAGGTGCTAAAATAGGACCCTTAAATAAGTTTGTGAAGTGGAAAATATGCATTTACTAATGTCTGAGTTGTGAAAAACACAACCTTAAGTGCTGATGGGTAATTATGTTCTCAAACAGCCTCCAGAACAGGCAAGCACCAATTTTCATGTGCAATCATCTATCTGAATGTGCAATACTTGATCATGTGTAAGCATTCAGTAGGGGCAATTTCTGCTCTCTCTTTCTCTCACATTCTCTCTCTCTCTAGCTCTTGCTTTCACTCTTTGTCTAGTCCATAGGAAATTTTTTGTACATTTTTTGTTGTTTTTCTGTATAATTAAAGAGAAAAATAGCCACAGAAATGTTAAAGCTTCAAACAAATAAAAGAACTACAGTTAATATTAGATTCCACCTAAGAAAATTGCTAATACATCCTGAGTCCAAGTATTTTTTACTCACTAGGGGCAGGTTGGTGTAAGTCAGCTGATATGAAAGTAAAAGATCACTGTTCAGGGGTGAAGGGCACTTTAGTAGATATTATCTGAACAGCACCAAGCTAAATTATCAGCATATACATCTGGACCATTGTGTTTAATAACAGCTTGTTGCTTTAATGTGACTGTGTAGGGTGGCAGCATCTCAGGGAGGAGGGTAGAATTAGAAAAAAATGCAGTGACCTTTGAATATTGTCCTGTATATGTGTGTTTTAATGTAATGTTTTGTATCAAAAATGTTTTCCTAAATTACTTATCTAGTAACAATTAAACATTAATAAGTAAAACAATATTACCACTTACCTACAGCATTGCTATAAGGATTGGAGGCAATATATCTTAAAATACAGAGTACCTGGTACCCAGGAGACAAACAGTTGTTAAAATTACTACTATTAATTGCTATTTCCAGCTTTACATAACAATTCTTTATCATACTAAGATTCAATGAGCCATAGCTTATTTTAAAAGTTTGTGCTGACTTCTATATGAACAAGGCAAAATGAACGTTTGCATTTATCTCTCTGTACTTTCAAAATCACATTAAAATGATGGCAGTAGCAGAGAATAAGCCCACAAGGGCAAAAGGTTATCTTTATTTTTTTTCCACCATTTTCGTAGATATTAGGAGGATGTGGTGACCAATTACAGTATCTGCTCTCTATCATTTCATCAGAAATACAGAAGGATTTAAGGAGATGCTTAAAGGTATGTCCATCACATAACATATATTAAAGGTAGAATAAGAAAAAATGAAAAATAAAAATATGTAGCAAAATCTTCTAAACATTTGCCTTTGTAACTAAATTTAGCAATAAGTTTTCCAAGGACCAGAGTATAAAAAAGGAAAGGTTGGTCATTTAGGAAATCTACAAAGTCCCATGAGATAAAGACTAATTGTCAAGAAGAAATGCAACTCTGCAATACCAATTCTGGAGTAAAATTTCTCCCATGGAGGCTCATGAAGAACCTATTGAGTAATATAAATAAATAATATCCTTAAAAAAATAAATAAATGTCCTAGAAAGAAATTTCAGTATAGAACTTGTAGTATCAGAGTTCAGTAGAAGTAGTTCTGCAGATGGCAGTAAGAGATGATCTTTGGTGCCAAATTAGCTTTAAAATGTTATGAACAGCAGTTTCCCAAGATTCCAGATACTTTAGTTCACAGACAATGCTCATAATATTTTCCCAAGAGCATAAGATCATGTCAGGTTTCTTGGTCCATAGCGACTTTCAGTTTCAGTGTGACATAATCCTGGAACTAACCATCTTCCCACAACACCTGTCGTTGTGTCTGGATCACTACACCAGAGTCTATTTTCTCATATTGAGAAGCCCTTGGTGACCTTCTTGCCTAGGGCTCTCAATCAAGACTATCCTAATTAACTACCCTAATCCTCAAATAAAATTGAGGAATTTTAATTATATTGAACCACCAAAGGGAAGGTACCAGGATTTTAGTTATTTCCTCCCTTGTGATGACTATATGCACATTAATCCATTTCCTTCCTAATGACCAGATATTTATGACTAAAAATTTGGGTTGAAGTATTCTTTGTTAAGAGTGAGCCCTCATAAAGAAATTTTGAGTGGGTATAATTTCCCCAGTGGCTACTCTATCTCGTAACCATGAGTCTTGTTTTGGCCTAGGAGTTTGTTCTTTTTACCCTTAAATGAGCTTCTAAGGCTTTAATCTCCGGTGGGGAAGACCCTTTTCTGAAAGTACAGGTAAGACATTCTACAGCTACAACACACCGTACAGACTTCAGCAGGTAAATAAATAAATAGTATAACATAGACTCACTAGTCTTAGTGGGATAGAAATCCTATTGCCCTCAAAATATTCTTCATTATTTTGTGAATAAACTTCTAAACAGTAGTGAGGCTTGCCCATCCATAAATTCACTGCTGCATAATTATATTTCATCTAGATTTCTCCTATGTTTCTAGTCAAATTTTGTAATATTTCCAGTGGAAAAACTTTGTACTACTTTTAAAAATGTATTTCTGTATACTGTTTATCATCAGTATAATTTCCATTATATTATATATTTACTATGTTATAAAACATTTTTTTATAAAGAGATAGTTTGCATATTTCACCTCTACTGAATTTTCTGTTTTTTTAAAATTTTCAGTTACTTCACTTGGACATTCAGGGTACATCATTACATAATCATATTCATTAAATTTGAGATACTCATTTACTGCCCAACAAGTTGTCTTTAGGTAAAAGCTTTTATATAACCATAAACAAATTAATAACCAGAGGTGCATTTTCCTACGTGGGTCTTTCAAAGTTGGAAGACTCCATGGACAGCTGACAAGGATGTTAAAAAAGTATTCCCAGGTGTATATTGGGATTAGATCTTAGATGTCATGATGAGATGAGTTTGCCTTCTTACTTCTTACATTCCTAGATCTCAGAGCTACTATCATAACATATTAGTTTGAAATTAGTCCTTCAAATACAAATATGTTATAGTGTGATTTCAAAAAACAGTCTTTGGGAAGTTTGGAAATCTTTTTAAGACCCAGAGAAACTAGCATTTTAAATATGCTATTGAGTTATTCCTTCTAAAGTATAATAATGATATTTTATTTTTTATTTCAGCAGCTTTCAATCTTGTGACATTGGTAAACACTTTATATGAGATTGTAAAGGTACTAAAGCTATCACATAAAACTGTTTTGATTTCTCTTCTATATACTGATGAATTACATATGACTTACTTTTTCTTTCCTGATTTCTGTAATGCAGTATACTTTAAATAGTTGAAAAAGTCCATAGTAATTCCAAAATTTAAGCTATTTCTTTTCTAAAGTGCTTGCTGTTTATAAGTTATGCCCCATCTTATTAAAACTCAAAGTGTGACTATAGTCCCACCCCTTTAAGATTTTTTTTCCCTTCTTATCTCAGTGTTATTATAGTATATATGGAAAAGTGTTGGTGTCTGCAGCCAGTGTATAATGCCAACTTTACTTTAGAGTCTTCTCATTACTATGCTCAATCTGAAACTCTTCTGTGTCTTTAGAAAATAATCTGTCAGTAAATTATAGTTTGGTGGCCCTGGTTGACTCATGAGACTAGGTATTACAAATAAAATTAGGTTTGTTTAAAACCATAGTTGGTTAAAAATATTTTTTAATGATTTTTTAAATTCTAAAATTATTTATTAAAAATAATTAATGAAAGTTTTACAGTTTAAAAAAATTTTTTGAGCTTAGTTTGAAAATTAGGGACAGGTGTATACAAATTGTTCTACTCATTTTTGTCATATAAAAAATTTCTATGATGACACTATTTTATTAATTCATTAAAGATCTGTGAAGAATAGTTAAGAAGCTGTTTGAGTCTAATGATTTAATACTTTCCTTAATGTTTAGTTGAATTTATATGCACACTTTATGCTGGTAAGCAATTCTGTATCTATAAATATATGTTAGTCTCTGAACCCCAATTTAAATTTCTATCTACCAAGAATGTGTTAAAGATAGTAAAAATAATTATTCGACATTTTTAGCTATTGGATATGAAGAATTTACTAGTACAAAAATTATTCAAGATACTCAATAGCACATACATTTTCCTGTTCAGAAGTAATGTCAAAATTATCACCAGCAAGCACTCATTGCATGGTATCAGAATTCTTTGACAGATGACAAGGAGGGTGAGAAAGAGACAGTGAATCCAGATTGCTTAACAAGTGCCCAGATCCTTTCTAAACAGCTGCCCTTAATAGGAGGTGAATTTAGTGAAGGACTGTGATGGGTGGGGATAAATAGGAAGAATAAGGCATAAAATTATGATGTGTACTGTAACAGATGTTGGGCACAGTCAAATATCCTGAGTTCTTGGCCCACCTCTGTCACTAGCAATGAATTCTAAACCAAAATGTAACCTACATCTCTCTCTCTCTCTCTTTTAATATGCTTTAATATGCAAAATGAGAATATAATGTGACAAAAAAATTTAAATGCTTTGTAAATTATAAGGTACTATATAAATGTAAGGCATAATAAATACTTAACAAACTTTCTTAACCTGGGCCAGTAACTATGAACTGGGGTAAGAATTCAAAGCCAGTATTACTGTCTGGTTTAACATCTTGTTCTGTCTCTACCATCCAGGCTCTCACATAATTTTTTGAATTATTTTACCTCTTGACCAATTCTCTTATAATTTAATTATCATTGGATTGATTTTCCTCCTTTCTATCATTTTGTAGCCAGTTCATTGAGGAACCAAGCTTCCCACTCTTTCTTCTTGTTATTATTACCTATATCATCATGATTATGAGTTTATT